AGATAGATAGATAAGCTCAAAACGGCCGAAGTTCGCATTTAAAATAAGTTTCGCTCTTCGTCATTGTATGCCTGAATCTTGACTTCTATTTCGTTTCCATATTGCACGAACTCTCTATTTAAAATCAATACCTAAGAACAAGGTTCGCTTTTTGTCATTCTATGCCTGAATTTAACTCTTTACACCTGCCAATTTGCACTGCTCACACTCAGGGGCCTCCCCCTGTCAAGTTTTAGATGTCACCTCATTTCAATTCCTGGAAAACCTGTGCCCATTGCATTTTTTAATCCCTGATCCTTTTGTCTCTGAAAGGTGTGTTTAATACCTTTTAATATTTTTTGCCAAGTGTTAGATGTTCATTGATAATAAAACGCAGTATTTCCAATGTGAAAACACCCACGGCGCTATAATACAATCTCGTGGCACTTTATTTTTGAACGCTTTCATGCGCCCTGGGCACAAGTGCAGGAGAAATGTGCACCTTGAGCTGTGACATAAGCAGTACTTTCAAATACTAAACCGTATACGTTAACAGCATAGTACTTTATATACGGCGCACAATGGCATACGCATAATTGCCTGCTTGGCCTTAACACGCTGTTGAAATCTATGCATAATGGTCAAGCTTAGTAGTGCCTTAGCGAATTCAGTTACAAACAATATATATTCGAAATTACGAAATAAAGGCATGCACAAAGGTGAACTAACAGTCTCGGGTGCGTTTTACTGAGCGAACGCTACCATGGGCGGACTCATGTCTTGGTTCAGGAGGGATGAGGAAGGTAGGTGTCGAAGCCGTTGCTAACTGCCGAGTAATCTTGACACTGTAAAGTTTTTAAGTACTTTAAATGAAGAATTCCCAGACTACCGCGTTTTGCAGAGGCGCATTGACTGCGTCCATATTCGACTGTGTTCAGCATTATCCTAATCTACATACGGGTTTCCGTGGCAGCGTTTCAGTTTGACCATGCTGGCGATCTGGCATCATGTTAGGCATGTGTGGCGCCTGTAATGGAAATGGATCATTTGTTCAAGCCTTGTTTTTATTATCTTGGTCTTTTGTTTTTTTTTTCTTTATAAACGCAATTTTTCGACTTCTGTCGAATGACTTCTTGGTTTATCGCTGATCTTAAGCGCTCTTAAGTGCAGCTGTCGTCGTTATTCTCTGCTTGTCACTGTTTTTATTTGTGCAACTTTTAATGTGTGCTTTCTGCTGTATACCTTTTTTTTTTCTTTTATGATCGATCAAGATTTCTGCTTTCTTGTGTTTACTACCAGTGTCATTACTACCTGTTTTTACGAGATTGGTCGACAAGGCTGTGACGAATGCCCATGTTTTGTTTTGCAACCACACCTACCACTTTGGTGGGCGTAGCCAAACACTTTTTTTTAGAGGAGGAGGGTTCAGCCACCCTCTGTTTGCGTTTGTGTGTTTGTACATAACTGGCACCCTTGGAAGCTGGTAGACTACCAAAACGCCCGTTCGATATTCCGAGCCAGTAAATAGAGTTGTCCTGCCACATCAGTCCTTGAGAGAGGATTAGGAACCGCGCTGGTTCCTTCGTGGGCTGAGCGGGCTACGTCTTCGGCTAAGTCATTCCCAGCTACAGCTACCACCGAAAATTTCCCGCTCCTATGAGAGGCTGTTACGCCATCTTTGTGTGCTTTGGGTGCGCGTTACATTCACCAAGGCGTGCTCGTTTCGCATAAGTATGACGGACACTTCTACATGAGACTCTTGCGGAACTGAATAGACAATCGAACACGTCCTGTGCAGTTACGCTTGCTATGACGCTCATAGATGTCCAGCCATGACACTTTAAAAAACATGTGGTGTCGAGATCATTTGCCGTAGACAAAATTCTAGGACCCTAGCCATGCGCTTCGACAGTGCAGAAGGGAACTAAAGTACAACTGGAGTACCTGAAATATAAACAAAAACCTAAATGACTGTAGGCGTGATGTGGTTCTCCAAAGGAGCTCGTTATTCTGTTCATCTCTCTTCTCCTTTTTCTATATTTTCGCCTTTTTATTAATTCCTCTAGTGCATGGTAGCAAACCGGGCCTGCGTTTGGTTAACATATCTGCCTTTCCTTGAAGTTGTGTGCGTGTGTGTGTTTCTAGGCGTGCGTGCATTTACGCACACTCGGAATAACAAAAGAGCTTCGGGAAGCTCTGAAGCTCCTCTTTCTATGGCAACATCAGCGCCCTCTTTTTCTGACAGCGCTGCTGCGCCAGCTCGATCGTGAGGCCAAACGTTGTTAAAAGTATTACCGTGTGCATCTGTGCGGCACTTCAAGCCTGTCTATCTGGTCGGGAAGTGAACCATTGAATTAGAAGGATGCCGGTTGTGAAAAAGAAATGGTATATAAAATCAAACCTTGCGGCTCCCCTAACAGGAACCTTGTTCACAAGGAAAGCGAGGACGAGTGAAGCGATGTTTATGAGATCTTTAAAATGTGACGGAAGCAATGTCTATAGATAAAAGGCAGGGTTTTGTCACTTCCGTTCAATGCATTATAATTCGTTCGAATCAGGATGGATTCCGTCGTACTGCGGTCAACCCAGCAAAAAAAAAGAAAAGAAAAACATCTTAAAGGCAGCATATTATGCTGTATGGCAGGCATTTTTTTTTTAATGATCGGGACGTAACAAAATCACTTTCATCACTCAACTTTCCGGTGTGAGCACACCGTAATTGACGTCATTGACATGCTGTCGATAACATCGCTTGACTCGTCCTTGCTTTGGTTTTCATCAAAGCTCCCGTGATGGGAGGCTAAACGTCTTTTATTGCGATAGCAATTAAATGGACACTCTCAGCCGGATTTTGCCGCCGGCGTCAACGTCGGCGTTGACGTCGTCGTCACTCACCGTATATGTATACGTACCTATATATATGAAAATGCCAGAAAGAAAAAAAATCGAGAAAAGGACTCCGGCACGCGGAATCGAACTTGAATCCTCTGCATCGTTAGCGCGAGGCGTTAACCACTGGGTCACCAAAAAGCGCGCCGTTCAACAATCAAACGGCAAGCTATTTATATCTGCCACTTACCACTGCTGACGGGCATCTCGATCGAGGGGAATCATCGTGTTTTCACGATTACCAGCAAGATGGCGCAATGGGCGCACGTCACCACATCGTGCGGTTGCGCGCGCTCTCATCCTCCACGCGTACTTTGCCCCACTTAGAGGAGGGGAGCCACGCTCCCTCGCGCGCCCTTATCTCGCGTTGGGGAGAATCGTACGTCTTGGCTGGCCTCGGGCTTTGCCTGGAAAGATCCTGTTGCATTTACAGGGCGCACATAGGTCACCGCAATCGTTTGTTCACAGTATTTATTTGCAAAAAGGGCGCGCTTTTCACGCATAGCGAAGTAACAACTGAGACGCTTATTCGCGTTCATCTGCACATGTGAGTACGTTTCGTGCTTCATTTGTGCGTGAGAAACACGGGGCATGTTTCGATCTGCTTGCCATTCGGCGCGTGACCTACAAATTTGTTGCTATCGCGTTCATTGCTTCGCCGCTGCGTCAAAGCTGTCACTTTTTTGTTCCTTTTTTTTCGTGGTCGATGTTTTTCGTATAGTTTAGTCAGTTTTGAATCCTGTGCTCAACTCTGCTGCTCCATTACCGTGAAATCCGAGGAAATACGTGCCACGCGGGCAAGCCCGCCATTTCATTGACTTTGCCGTCACGTCGTCAATAACGCGCTCGCCAACACGCCGGTGTCCTCTCATGCGCAGCGCGGTTCTCAGCCATCGATGTTTCAGAAGCGTTTCGCGCAACTTTAGGTAAATCAGAGTGATTACTTCTCGGTTAACCCTGTAGTTTCTATTCTTTTAGAACTTTTTAGTTTATTTTGCACTGGTTTTGAGACAGGTTAGCGTGGTCACCTGCGTCATGTGATGTCAGGACAGATTTAGACTATCGTCTTATGTCCCATGGTCATAGAGAATCCATGCGACGATGCGATGAGATCTAACAGACAATCGTGCCAAGGAAATTATAAGTGTTGCTATAAGAGGTAATTGTAAATGGGAAGAAAGAAAAGTGGATTAGGATATACTTTGCCATGGGCAGAGACCGAACTTGCGACATCCGAATAACGGGTACGATGCTCTACCAACTCAGCTACCACGGTGGTGTATGGGCGACAAGCGGGGCACATGAAAGCGGGGCGCGCTTAAAGTATAATACGACGCCGTTAAAAGTACTATACGCCCCTCAGCGCCGCCGTCCTATAGAAAGGTTAAAGCAGCGTCGCACTAGGGCTTAAAAGCCCGAAGGGATTGCCCTGCTGGGCAGCCGTCGTTATTTCTGTTCGGGTTTTCTCTTTCTTTCCTCCTTTATTTTTTTTCTTATTCTCATTTTTCGCTTTTATGTATTTTTCTCTTTGTGCTTTTTTTATTCATCTCCTTATCTATTTCTTGCGACTTCTGTATTTCTTTTTATATTTTTCTTCCCTCTTCTTCTCATTTTTTTTTCTCTGTGGTTCTGCCTGCGTGATGCCAAGCACACAAGTTGTTTTTTTCGGTGACGACCATAACTGATTGTCATCAAGGCGCTTTACGAGCGAGAGAGAGAGAACTCCCCCGGTGTGCGAGCACGCGCTCAGCATGCAACACGTGGAGCATTAGGCATAGTGACGACGACAGCACACGACAGCAAGAGACGGCACGTCCGCCTAAAGATCTCCGCCCTTTAAAGCGCAACCAATGTTTTCAACGCGATTGTCGCTGAGCACAAGAGTCGGCCATTGTCTCAGAACCGCTTGTTCCGACAAAGGGCAATTGTTAAGTTTATCTAACGCATTATAAAGTTCTCTCTTCTTTTTGCGCAATGAAACGGAGACACCCGCAGAGAAGAAGAGAAGTCGTTTCTTCGCACCAGGAGTTATAGCGTGTACACGCTTGTTCACCGAAACAATCTGAAAGGAGCACTCATTCGTGAAGTCCGCGCCAAGCCACAGGTGGCTGAGAAGAATGCGGCACGTTATAATCAGGCGTCTAGTGCTGTTTCAAAGTGCCGCCTGTTGTGAACAGTTCGCTTGGCAATATAAGCTGCAAATGTCTGATGTCGTCCTAATGCGCCAAGCTTTCTGGTGAGCTTATGGTTATGCGCGAATTTTTCGCGTTCACTTTTCACGACATTCGCGGTTGCAAAATCTGTAATATTTTCATTCGCTTACGAGGAACAATTTTGTTTGTTCTTGATTGATATGTGGGATGACGATAGTTATAGCGCGAGAACAAAATGACGACACAGAGACAAGAAGGACACGATAGTTATAGCGCTCGTGTCTTTCGTGTCCTTCTTGTCTCTGTGTCGTCGTTTTGTTCTCGCGCTATAACTATCGTCATGCCATACCAACTATAGCCCAAGCTGCCACACTTCTATGATATGTGGGGTTTTACGTTTCAAAACCGCATATGGCTATGAGAGACGCCGTAGTGGAGGGCTCCGGAAATTTTGACCACCTGGAGTCCTTTAACGTGCACCAAAATCTGACCACACGGGCCTACAATATTTCCACCTCCATTGGAAATGCAGCCGCTGCAGCCGGGATTTGATCCCGCGACCTGCGGGTCAGCAGCCGAGTACCTTAGCCACTATACCACCGCGGCGGGGTGTTTTTGTTTGTTCAAGGTGATGAAGTTATATGGTGTTGTAACAAAGGACAGAGAGAGAGAGAGAGAATATATTGAGAGAGAGGCAGCGAGGTCACCCCGGCCTGCCTGCGCGCTATCATTCGGTTTGCTACCCTGCAGTAATGGGAGGGAAGAAAGAGGAGACGGAAAGCGAAGGTAAAAGTAGACGCGCGAGAAAAAAGAAAGGGGCAAAAACAGTTATAAAGCTTAATGGGCTGAGTAATTGATAAGGCGTAAGGTTATCCTCTCTTGACGCAAATCTATGTTCCGTAATGCTAGAAAAATATGTTGCCTCCGAAACTGCCAAAAATTTACGAAACACTACAACATTACAACATTTATTATTTGTGTCTTTCATATAACAGTACCTCTTGAAGGAGACCCGACCTTTGCTACGGAGAATGTCACCGTTGTGCGAGGTAGGTAACATAGCTACATTCAGCCATGTTCATGTAACATCCGCACGACAACTCAGTATGATTCACGGAAGTTATCCGTATTCTTCTGCGTGTCTGTAATAGTTTTAGAGTGAAAGCCGTTGTGAGATTACCACAACGCCCGCTTCTGGCTTTGTATAGCTGTCCGCCACCGTTGCTGTTGGTGTCCGTAACCGTTATCACGTGAAATAAGAAAACAAAAAAAAAACTGGAAGAGCAAAGCGTGCAGTGTTTTCGAGCGATTGCTTTGGTGAGGCAATAGTGGGGCCAAGTCTGAAACCGGGAATTCAAGGAAGAGGGTTTTCGATCTACTAACGTCGTGAAAAACCTGCCTACAAATGCAACTTGACGATGATAATGATCATAATGACGATTGTCTCTATGTATGTCTCACACTCACTTTGAGGAATCGCCCAAGTTTGTTTGTTTGTTTGAGCATCACAGAACATGGCAGATACCCGCTCTGGGTGTATTGGTCATCATTGCGTGCTTTCAGTTAGAGTGCACTTCAAAATTTTATTCTATATTCAGTGAACAGCCACATAATTCGTCCAGTCGTTGTGGACAGTGTCCACTGGGGCTACACTCTGAAAAATATCAAGTATTTGGGGAGTATTTCCACTGCACAATTATAATCGTTATCTAGGTCCCGTACTTTCCTTGCGTAATCACCGTGGTTATGGCACTTCCCAGTCATGAACGGGGCCCGTGCAGTCAGCGTCACATAACCCTCTTGACAGGAAAATTGCGAGATATGGTTTTTTAAAGAAAAAGAAACGTGAGCAATCCAAAAGCATGTCTTAGTTGGGCCAGGAAGACTCCCCAAACACACTTGAATTTTAATAGCGGAGTTTGAGCCACCCGTGCTCTGTCTAACGCAAACATTAAACCTCGGGTGGCGCCACAAGAATCGAGGAAGCCCCGCTACCGAGTACAGGAGGCGAGATCTTTAAATGAAAATGAACACATAAGAGAGAAAAAAAGCTATAAAAAGAAAACAACTGTTGACAGGCATAGAGGCAATTAGGAAATAAAGATAGAGAGATATAAATATATGGGCAGAGTGAGAAAGAGCTAGACAAAATACGGAAATAAAAAGTGATAATAAAAAGCACAAATCAAGACAAAGAGAAAAAAAGAGGACTAAACAGAAACAAACAAAAATAAAAAAGCACACCCAGAGAGAGAGAGAGAAAGAGGGAGAGAGAGAGGGAGAGAGAGATGGAGAGAGAGAGAGACGTGAAAAGAAAGTGGAAGTGATAAATAAAATAAGAGGTGCAAAATGGAAAAGTAAAGGTATATAGAGTGATATGGAGAAAGGAATAGATCGGAAGAAAAATGAATGAATAAGGTAAGACCGACGAAAAAAGAGATACAAGAACCTTAGAAATGAAATAACAGAAAAAAGAAGAAAGGACACTGAGCTCAGTTCTTTCTTGAGGCTACGCATCTCCAGCGGAATATGCCTGAACATTTTCTCACGTCTTAGGGATCGCGAAGTTGAAGGAGCTAAATATAATTCGCTTTAGTGGAGCCGAGTTGCTGTGGTTCATTTGCTTAATGCAGTAAGCATTTGGCAAGAAATCGTATCTAGCGTCCACATTATTCACAACACTGCCTGGTTTATTCACAGTGACGTTATCCCTAATGATTAAAGTAATATCAGAGAACATAGAGCGTACCTCTATATAACGGCCTTCTTTGGCTGCTGAGTCTAAATAAATATGATGTATTCCAGGTAGGTGTCTGTTTAACGGCAGAGAGATCGTCGATAGACACACGATGAAAATGAGCATTCCCTGTGTTGAAGCAACATGCTGGGCTCCTTCAAAGTTGGTGCTACTTAACAAGTGAGTACCGACGTCGTAAAAATTTTTCAAGCATTTCATTCGGTGTACAAAGGGACGTTCCTTTCCGCCTATTTTTTTTCGCGGCTTTTATATTTACCTACATACGCATACGAGACGTGCATAAAGACAGCGGCGACGGCAAAAACCAGCCGAGGAGGCCCATAAAACTGCCATTGCAATAAAAGAAAGAAAAATGATGGCTTAGTGGGTCATACGCAACTCTATACCTTCTGTAGGAACTCCCGGTTAGTTTGAAACTGTCAACTTTATGCGCGAAGACGTTGTTTTCTTTGCAGCATGGTTGGAAGTGACGCGCATAGGGGCTGATTAGATTATGGCGTTCTACTTTTGAAGAGAAGCTGAAGTGTCCTCCAACTATTTTTTTATCAATATCCTTGTGCATCCAAACGGTTGTGCCTTCTCTGCTATTTCTACTTCAACTTTCATTCATTCACTGTTTATTCAGACAAAAACAATGATTGCCTAGATTGAAGGAACTAAAGGCAGATTACCTCTGCCTGACTAAGGTCCCTCCACCCATACATTTGCTCAGGTGAAGTGGAACAAAGGAACACAAATTTCATTTTGCTTTTGAATGAGGGGACACAAAATTCAAATTCAACAAGTATAACAGACGTCGACACATACGTTTATAAAAAAACACATTGCAGTCATCACCAATTTGCAGTACCAATATATATATATATATATATATATATATGTATATATATATATATATATATGGAGGACAGATTGTGTTAGAAAAACTAGCCACCCTGTTTACGAGGTGTCTCCTGACGGGAAGAGTACCAGAGTCTTGGAAGAACGCTAACATCATCTTAATACATAAGAAAGGAGATGACAAGGACTTGAAGAATTACAGGCCGATCAGCTTGCTCTCTGTAGTATACAAGCTATTTACAAAGGTAATTGCTAACAGAGTAAAGAAAACATTAGAATTCAATCAACCAAAGGAACAAGCAGGATTTCGAACAGGCTACTCAACAATTGACCACATTCATACTATCAATCAGGTAATAGAGAAATGCTCAGAGTATAACCAACCACTATACATAGCCTTCATAGATTACGAGAAGGCGTTTGATGCTGAGTCTAAACACAGATGGTGTATTCCAGGTAGATGTCTCTTTAATGACAGAGAGATTGTCGATAGACACACGATGAAACTGAGCATTCCCTGTGTTGAAGCAACATGCTGGGCTCCTTCAAAGCTGGTGTTACTTAACAAGTGAGTACCGACGTCGTAAAAAGTTCTCAAGCATTTCATTCGGTGTACAAAGTGACGTTCCTTTCCGCCTATTTTTTTTCGTGGCTTTTATATACCTACATTTGCATACGAGACATGAAGACAGCCGCGACGGCAAAAACCAGCCGAGGAGGCCCATACAACTGTCATTGCAATAAAAGAAAGAAAAACATGGCTTAGGGGGCGATACGCAACTCTATACCTTCTGTAGGAACTCCCGGTTAGTTTGAAACTGTCAACTTCATGCGCGAAAACGTTATTTTCTTTGCAGCATGGTTGGCGGTGACGCGCATAGGGGCTGATTAGATTATGGCGTTCTACTTTTGAAGAGAAGCTGAAGCCTTACAAAGAGGGTTCAGCTTAATTGAGGACGACGCAGCGAGCAGATGGAAAGAAAAATGGTAGGTGTAACCTTAAGAGACAAGAAGAGAGCAGAGTGGATTAGGGAACAAAACGGGGGTTAAGGATATCATAGCTGAAATCAAGATGAAGAAATGGACATGGGCAGGGGCATGTAGCGCGTAGACAGGATAACCGCTGGTCACTAAGGGTAACTGACTGGATTCCCAGAGAAGGGAAGCGGCTAGAGGGAGACAGAAGGTTAGGTGGGCAGATGAGATTAAGAAGTTTGCGGGTATAATTGGCAGCAGCAAGCACAGGACCGGGGTTAACTGGCGGAACATGGAGAGGCCTTTGTCCTGCAGTGGACTAGTCATGCTGATGATGATATGATATATATCATATATGATAGATATATTATTATATATATATAGATATATATATATATATATTATATATATATATATATATATATAAATGCAAACAAGAAGAAATTTCTGACAGAATTACTAAGTACCATAGAGAAATACATTTGAAAAGAAGAAATTGAGTCAGTTTTCATCTAATAGGCAAAAGCAGTAACGACACAAAAGAAATATTTATAATAAATAATACAATTAAGGCTCCTTACTAGTAAGGAAGTACATCTTAACTTTTTTCTTCACACTGTTTTTAGTGTTATGTTTTTTCAAAAGTTCACGGACATAGCTATTTTCGTGGAGTAGATAAGGTATTTGATATGATAAAGTTTGCTTGCATATGGTAAGCAAACTTTATCGAAATTCTGGGATAGTTCTTATCGTTCATCGAAAAATGTCGCGCTGATACGTCCTGATCTTGTCTTTTTTTTTTTGAAAAGGTGTAATTCTATTTTTTTTTTTTTTTTTGTAGGTGCCCACCGCCGGAGTTGGGCTACGGTTGCATGCTGGTAAATCGTTACGATGCCGAATATCCATGGTGTTGTCCGCGGGCTGTATGTAATTGACACTCGCGGAAACCCTGACCACTTTCTTTCGCGGATCTCTATCCCGATGGCGGCAAATGAGTTGTTCGAAAATATTATGGGCATATCACTGCAATGATTTCCAACGACACGAGTGTCCAATAAAAGACTCTTCACTGGCAGACGAACTGCATTATTATGTGTTTGTATTTACCCGATACAGTATTTTTTGAAGATGTTGTCAAATAAATATTTGATGCACACTCTACTCACACTGGTGAATTGGCCCAACGCAGACAGTTTCAGTGAATATTTCGTTGGACCAATGAGAGATGGCAGTTACCATTGGGGACACAGCATGTTGTCAGGACAAATTGTTCGAATAAGTTGTTCAATAATAATGTCTACTCGTTGATCCTACTTCATATTACAAATACATGCACTATCTTTTTGCAGTCATTTTTAGCGATTACCTAGTTCATGATATTGCTACTACTGAAATCGTTTGATTGTGTGTTCCTATAATGGCATTGTATATTCTATGATTTATATGTCATTTTGTAATTCAAGCTTTTTTGTGTTTTCCATCTATACGACTGTGTGCAAACAAATATTCGCTTTCTTATGCCCTCCCTGCTATTAATTTCTGATGAGATTGGCAGTATTGTTAAATAAATAAATAAATAAATATATCGGGCTACAGATTATCAACAAGACAAACATATAATCCACTTATAAACGCACAACACAACAATCATGATATGGCACATCAGAAAAATAGCAATTTATTTATACATTTTCATTAGAGATTACACGTTTAAAACGCAACGTTACAAAACAAATAAAAAAAATAAAAATGCCTCTAGAAATTTTAAACGGAATGAGAGGTGTCAACGCCCACAAGTAAACTTTTTGAAAAAGCATCTGCCACCATTGATGTTCACATCCGTGTGTGATTATACTGAGACAACTGTTTTGATAATTTATCCTTCCCCATTGTCGTCCACCTATCCAATAGAGTGAACGCTTCATAATTCACACTCTCGATGGGGACTATATAATTGTTTGAATAGAGCGGATTTCCAATTAGTGGGTGGGCGCTAAAGTATAAAACCGTTGAGCCACACTGCGTGGGCATAACCCAACGAACCCATGCACCTCTGGACTTGTTATAGGGAACTATAGTGCTACCACACGTTTGTTGCAGGCGATTTAATCGATTAGGCTTATGGAGCTTTTAACAGCGAACAGATATAATTCATCAGTCAATGATACTCCAGAAACAAACACCGACATACATCAACGTCAGCAGCGAGCCACATTGTTCATACATATCATGCTATTTATGCTCGGAGACACGTTTATTTGCCTGGTATGCAGATTGAACGCCATGAAAATTTCGAGTGATCGGGGTCTTCCCTGCCTGTTCTTTGGGTCAGAATAAGGTTAAGTCAACAACGCCACTCAGTAATTTATGTTTGCTCCCGTTTATTTTGTTGCGATACCAGAGCTTCAGTGCGCCATCCAGACTATCATCTGCTTAGTTTTATAACAAATTGCCACACACTTGACCGGTTATCTAATCATCGCGCTATATATATATATATATATATAATATATATATATATATATTATATTATATATATATAATATATATTATATATATAATATATTATATATATATATATATATATATATATATTATATATATATATTGGTGCCATTTGCTTGGTGCTTGGTATTGGGAGCCGGCACCTTCGCCGACATGAGACTGACGCCTTTGCTGCTTGTGCAGGTTAGTCGAAACTGCCCGTTTACGACTCCTAAAGTTCTACTAGTTGTGCCGGCTCCACCCACTCTGGCAGGTGTGACGTTGCCTTGCTACAAGCGGGGCTATGGGAGGGGTGGGAAAAATTGTTGTTTTTTCTTAACCAGATAGCTGTATCTTGCAGTGTTGTTGTTGCTATCAGGTGACGTTGAGCCCAAATCCCGGCCCTCGTGACACAGATAACTTGCTGAAAAACATCCAGGATGGCCGAACTGCCATTTTGAGTAAACTTGACTCCATCGATGCAAGACTTACGAAACGTGAAACTTTAATGACAGAAATGAGCATAAACTTAGATGACTCTCAACGACGATTGCAGGAGGTCAATAAATTGGTCTCCGACTAAGCCGATGCAATTAAATATCTCTTAGATAAAGCAAAAAAATGAACTGAAGGTCGTGGATTGAGAAAATTGAAGCCGAAGAAGAAACATCCCATTCTACGGTGTAGAGGATAATGATCAGTTTGAAACTTCGGACAAATTGGAGCACCTGAATAATGATATTTGTAAATCTTATCTGGTCATTAAGCTAAAATCCGTTGAAAGGCACATCGCGTGGGACGTTATGACAGCAAAACAAAACGGCCAATCATTGCAAGTCTTTCATCTTTTAAGGAAA